GTGAGAGGGTTGCGTGTGTGTGTGTGCACGTCTGCCTGTGTGGATGTTGCACCCCAGTGGGGACAGCCATCGAGGAAGTAAGTGGGCTATGTACATTTGTGTGCATGCGTGTCTGTGTGTGTCTCTGTGTAGGAGTGTGTTGCACCAGGCAGGGAAAGCCACTATGTGGTGGTGAGCCAGCTATGTGTGTGCGTGTGTCTCTGTGTGCGGAACCTGTGCATGCATGTGTGTGCGTGTGTGTGTTGCACCCGGGCAGGAAGGTGGTGAGTGGGCTTGGTGTAGAAATAAGAGACCTGAGCCAGCTCTTTGAGGAAGGGAAGGTTAATTGCGCAGGTTCAGAGAGCTAAACAAAGCAAAGGGTCTGAACGCCGAAACGGGCTCTGCAAAACATACTTATACTCCTGAATAAGTGTACATTTCCTGATCACATAGTATTCCTTACATGGCTATTTTCTATACATCCTTGTCTCAGCATATTAGAGAATACCAGACAGTTTTGACCAACCACGTGCTTCCATAAAAACAAGATATGGCCCAGACAGAGCAAGGCTAAATTGGTTATCAGCTGCAAGACAGGAAACCTTCTATAGACCCAGCAGTTTTTAGAGTTTCAGTATTTTTCCACTTTAGGTGGTGTGTATGTGTGTGTGTGTGGGTGCACATGTGGACAGAAACAGCTACCAAGGAGGTGAGAGGGCTGCCTGTGCTTGTGTGTGTGTGTGTTGCACCCGGACGGGAAAAACCACCAAGGAGGCGAGTGGGCTGCATATGTGTGTGTGCGCATGTGTACACGTGGGCATTGCACCTGGACAGAAATAGCCACCAGGGAGATGAGAAGGCTCCGTGTGTGTGTGTGTGTGTGTGTGTGTGTCCCTTTTCCCTCTTTTTGCTTTCTTTTTTTCCAAATCTATGGATTCCTTGCAACGTGAATTGTACCCCTATTTAAAGAGGTGGTCCTCGACTTACGACGATGATTGAGAGCAACATTCTGGTTGCAAAGTGAGACACATTGTGGGTGCTTTATGGCGTTTCTCAGCACCGTTGTTAAGTGAATCACTGCAGTTTATTCCCCCCTGTTGAGACTTATCTCAGCTCATGACGATGAGTCTCAATCAGTGATACTTGGACCTGCTGTGTTCAGCTGATGGAACTCCCACAAAGCCATAACCTGGGCAGTTGTCTTTTGTTCAGCTAATACTGACATCTTCTTTGATAGGGTTATATTATTCCTTAATGAAAACAGACATTGAACAAGGCAACGCCCACTAATAAGCACAGCAATAAAAATAATAATATATTGAATGATAGTGCCAATAAAACCCATTGGAAGCCAAGACCACAAGTTGCTCCACCAGCTTCCCAGAGAATCAATTTGTAAGTCTGAAGCCAGGTTCTGAAGGACATTGATTTGTTGTTGATTGATCTGTTAGGTTAAAACAACACATTCCCTCCAAAGGAGTCACAGCCTAAATGCTGGCGGAGCAAAAGATGGCTGCTCGCTTTTCCAAAATGGCTTTACGAAGCTCAATAAGCTCCTGATTAATAGCAGACAATGCCGAAGAAGTAGCATTTATAGTTTTTGCCAAACTGCAAGCAATAGAATTTAGATTCACATGGGCTCGAATAGCAAGTGCAGGGACGCCTACCAACGAGACAGCCAGCGCATTATACACAGCTTCATTTAAAAGGGTGCGAGAGGAGTTGCATTCCTCATCAAGAAAGACTGACCTACTTGATAGGAATCTGCTTAAACAACAGTAAGCTATGCTTAGATTATCAGGGATACAGTCCAGTGGTTCTCAACCTGTGGGTTGGGACCCCATTTGGGGTTGAATGACCATTTCACGGGGGTCGCCAAACAACGCCGTCCGCCATTTTTTTCCCCTTTTCCTTGGCTGTGCTACTCCCTTTTATTCTATTGGCTTTTGAAAGCCAATAGAATAGACTCTCTTGAATAGAGTCTCATTCTATTGGCTTTCAAAAGACAATAGGAGTTGTCCAGGCTGTCTCTGCCCTGCTGAGCCCGCCAGAAGTCCCATTCTGCAAACGGTGCTGCACCAGTTGAGTAGTCCTCGACTTACGACCGGTTGCGGGTTGTGGCATTAAAAAGGTTGAGAACCATTGATATAGTTAAAAGTTCCCCTTCCACATGTGAAGAACCACTCTTTTTTTGGCAACCATATATTTGCATAACCGAAAGACGCAGACTGGAAAGATGTACAATTTAGCTTTCCTTGGCCCGCTTTTATACAATGAGGTTGGGGCGTTGTAGTGGGTTGCTCACAGCCTGTGATATGGACACACTGTATACCTTCTGGAACAGCTACAACTGGAGTGTGTAAAGCAAGAGCATCAAACGGCAAATGGTTGGAAATATGACCCCAACTATATAGAATTTCATAGCCTTTATTATCTTTTATCACATAGTGGCGTAAAGCAGTATAATTTCTTAACACAGAGGCTAGAACACATACAAGTATCAAGCAGGTAGAAAGCAGGTTTTCCGTATCATATGCTTCAGAAAGGCAAAAGTCCATTGTATTCGCTACCTTAGCCAATGGTACCCAGAGATTATATGGCAATCGTGACGCTAATGGATGGGGCACAATTTTGTCCAGGTTGGATCTCCTGACCCTTCTTTCCATGGGTCGTGTCCTTTGTGGTTTCCAGATAGTGGTTCCAAACTCCACCGGATTCACACACAAGATACAAGTCCCTTTCCATCCGGGTTTTAACCCGAGACTAGAGTGACTTGTTCCCAACCCCAAAACAAAGGAGGCCCACACCCCAAGGATGCTTCTTATAAGGAGCTTTAACACATATGCCCTTTCAAAGGACGTAGCCAAAATATTGACAGGCGTCTGGATTAGTAGGCTGCTGGTAAGACATGCCTCTTTAGCAATTCTATCAAAAACCTGTGAGTACTGACAGGTATGGGGCCATTCCAGCATCTCCGGACTAAAACCAAGAGGTGGGTTGCTATCACATTCACCTTTTCCAATAAAATAGGGAAACACAGACCCGAATTAATAACACAGACATGCTTACTCGTTCCTAAAGAATTAAACAAACAAAATACTAAAATCTTCATCCTTTCTTCTCCCGTGCGTAGAAAGCCAGCTTCCGGGGTGGCTTAGCAGGGGTCTTCGCTACTGTGCGTAGAAGAACCTGTTGCCGCTAAGGTTCTGGCAGAGTAGCCGTTGCTAAGTACAGGAATCACCTTTACTAACACAATATCTATTACACAAATAAAAACATACATGAGAGACGTTTCAAAGTAAGCTTTGTAGGAACCGCTGGATCTCTGGATACCTTCCACGAGGGGTCAGCTGCTGCTTTGACCCTTGTCCAATGGATCCAAGATTTGGATTCTGCAATTTTTTATAGCAAGTATGTTACTTCATACGGCCCTTTCCACCGTCCTTCTAACCGTTCTCTCTTCCAACGCTTAACCCAGTGGTTCTCAACCTGTGGGTCGGGACCCCATTTGGGGTCGAACGACCATTTCACGGGGGTCGCCAAACAATGCAGTCCGCCATTTTTTCCCCCTTTCCCTTAGCTGTGCTACTCCCTCTTATTCTATGGGCTTTTGAAAGCCAATAGAATAGACTCTCTTGAATAGAGTCTAATTCTATTGGCTTTCCAAAGCCCATAGGAATTGTCCAAGCTGTCTCTGCCCTGCTGAGCCCGCCAAAAGTCCCAGTCTGCAAACGGTGCTGCACCAGTTGAGTAGTCCTCGACTTACGACCGGTTGAGTAGTCCTCGACTTACGACCGGTTGGGGGTCGCGGCATTAAAAAGGTTGAGAACCACTGGCTTAACCCATACCCTATCCTCTGGTTTAAAAGGAGGACACCTTGTCACTAATTTAGGTGGTGTTTGTTCAATAACATAATTTCTAAGCTTTTCTACCTGTTTATTGAGTTCTTGTACCATTTCGAGAGCCCATACTCCCCCCTGATGGAACTAAGGAGAAACTTCCTGACAGTGAGAACAATTAATCAGTGGAACAACTTGCCTCCAGAAGCAGTAAATGCTCCAACACTGGAAGTTTTTAAGAAGAGACTGGACAGCCATTTGTCTGAAATGGTGTAGGGTTTCCTGCCCGAGCAGGGGTTGGACTAGATGACCTCCAAGGTCCCTTCCAACTTTACTACTACTACTATTATTATTATTATTATTATCAATCATCGCACAGTCAGCCAGATGTTCAGACTGGATTTGGCATTTTGTCTACCTATCGAGTCCTTACCCAGGACCTGGGATAGGCAGAAGTAGATGTTTGATGGTATTATAGGTATCGTCGCAGGATGGAAGCAGTTCCTAATAAGGCCGCCTTTTGCAATTGACTAATAGCAAATTTGTCAATGCCAATGGTGTTCAAGTGGTGCTCCAGTTGTTTTGGGATTGCGCCCAAGGAGCCTATGACTATTGGTACTACCCTTGCTTGCTTTTGCCACAGTCTTTCTATTTCTATTTGTAGGTCTTTGTATTTTGTTATCTTCTCCAGTTCTTTCTCTTCTATTCTGCTGTCTCCAGGCACTGCCACGTCCACTATCCAGACTTTTTTGTCTTTCTTATCGACAATTGTTAAGTCTGGGGTGTTATGTTGCAGGTGCTTGTCTGTTTGAATTCTGAAGTCCCAGAGCAGTTTAATTTTATCATTTTCTATGACTTTCTCTATTTTATGATCCCACCAGTTTTTGCTTACAGGCAAATGATATTTTTTGCAGATCTTCCAATGCACCATTGTTGCTACTTTGTCATGCCGCTGCTTGTAATCAGTCTGTGCAATCTTCTTGCAACAGCTTACCAAGTGGTCCACTGTTTCTTCAGCTTCTTTGCATAGGCGGCACTTACTGTCTGTTGCTGTCTTCTCAATTTTGACTTTGTATGCATTTGTCCTTAAGGCTTGGTCTTGTGCAGCCAGAATTAGTCCCTCGGTCTCTTTCTTCAATTTTCCTGCTCTTAGCCATTGCCAGGTTTTATTATTATCTGCTT